AGAGCTAACTCTAATTCTATATGGCCAAAAACATATGGCTACCTTTATAATTTTTCGGATGCAAATCTTGTACAATGGAAGAATAATACACTCATTTTGCCAAAAGATAATACTTCTATACATTCACTCTTGCTCTAGTTAATTCATATGCTTTGCAAAAGAAGGAACACATGGGAACATACATTAATTTAATTTTGAAACAAATGAGAGTCCAAACGGAAATAGAAAATATAATTTTTCCAACTTTAGAGATGGACAAATATTATTTGCTCCTAATTTTAATAAAATTATCTCTATGTTTTATATCACGGTGAATTTGACAAAATTGAAATATCAATATGAATTGTCAAACTCACCGTGATACTTAAAAAAAACTATATAAATATCTTTAGCTAATTGCGTTTATTAAAAACCCTACAATTCTTGCGAATTTCACCTTGATTTTCAACCAAAACTCCAACTTTTCCCATCTTTATCATAGCACTTGCAAAACTCTTAACAAACTTATCACCATTTGAAGCAAAATTAGACACAAAAGTACTTGTGGATTTGTCCAAAGCAAGTTGCTGATCAATCTGCATTACACCTCTCTTAAGAAGAATCTGTTTGTAGAATTCGTTATCGACGACAAAAGAAGTATTCTGATCCAAAAATGCAGCAGCATTACTTGACTTGCACAGCTTAACAAGCTTAGCATCCAATGCAGGATCCATTGTAGGATCAGGCTTCCCTCCATTACTAGATAACCTACCAGAGAAAAAATTACAGTGAGCTACACCGACGGTATGCGCTCCCAAAAGCGTCACCGTTTCTTCAACTGTGATTCCTTTTGCAGCAAAAAATTGTGTTAGTGCTGGTATAGCAATGTTAGGTCCTGGTAAATCAACATCATTGATGTCAGAGACTAATCCGTCGCGTCTTCCAGTCGGAACGTTGTATTTCGGTCCTCCTGATAAGGCCACAGCATCTCTTGTTGCAAGTGCTATGATGTCTGCACATGAAACTGTTGAAGGACATGTAGCTTCAATTTCTTCCTTTATGTCGTCGATCAGATCGTAGCCTCTAACGCTTGTGTTTGCGCCGGATTTTTTCTCTGATGTGGTGTTCTTGGTTGAGTCTATGAGGAGGGATGCATCACAACCCTAAACATAAATAAAATTTTTAATAAATACTATATCAAAATTAAATCGAAATAATTATGCAAAATCATAAAACCCGCTTGTCTCTATATAAAGTCAGAGATTGGTTGTTTGATTATCCAACTGTTAGAAGTGATATCTCTGATGCTGGATAACAACGACCAACCTCTGATTACAAATGCAATAGAAGATTGAAATAGATAACTTTTTGTGCAAGTTATATTATCCCATACTTAGAAGCAACTAGTTACACAAAATTTCAAACAAACACTTAGAATCTATTTAACTAGTTAGTTCTTACTCTGACAAAACAATCATGAAAATGCATGCGAAGCAATGCGGCGGTTATCGTTTTGTCACGATTAAATCGTTTCTGAACAACTTGCTGCACAATCGACTCGGCTTTTCGGCAAGAAGAGGCATAGAATCCTAATTGCAGATCAGCAAATGCTAAGGGAAGTACAAAGAAAAAGAGGATGATTGATATCAGCTTCATTTTGAGACTTATCTCAATACACTATTTGATTTAATGTTTCTTAATACTTTCTTATTAAGAAAATTTATTTCTATATATAGGTAGAAAATCAAAGAGGCTTCTCACATTAGTTGAAAGTGTCGTCTTTCATAATGAATCGCTACAAAATATGCAGCTAATAGAGCCAAACTAAACTATGGATTAATTGATATAACTTTCAAGAATGATTGAGTAAAATTTAGTAATGCTTAAATTTGGAATAATTCATTATTCTTTTTCTTGAGTGCAGAATGGTAGCCTACGTAAATTGTTCACCATAAAATTACAAAAATAAAATTTGTCGGATTCTTCAATTTTAACCTCTATTTAAAAAATGATTAACAAATAAATAAAAGTAAAAAGGAGATGAGTAAATTTAACATTAGATGCAATTTCTCTTATACAGCTATTGAAGATGAAATACCAAATGGCATTGTAGAATCCGCAGGAGTCAAAGCCTGCAATAAGTTATTTGTGTTACCTTCTTTTTATTCCTATCTTAATTTCAACTTCACTTCAAAATGAATATTGAATTAGGTTATTTTCGTGTCCTTAATTTTTAATTGTATGAATTTAGTTTCACCCACCAAATGAGATTAAAGTTTGATTATTTATATAAGTCGGCAGATTGGAGACCGTTTTGCATTGTTTTGTGTGTTGTGCAGATGAGAAAGGATATACTAGAAGGTATCTAATAGTTTGGTCAACACTTCCATATATGGTGTTTTATTCATACTGTTATTAGTTATCCTATCATTCAATATTTCGAGTGAATTTTCTTCTTAACTAGTAATTTAATACCAATCCGCAATCTGATCTCACAACGACGGATAATGGTTAGGGTTTAGATAGAGTACTTATATCTATTTGAATTTGCAATTTGAAAAAATTGTCGTCAAGCTCTTCTTACTCATGAGTACCAATTTTTCTATTCGTAATAGTAATTTATGGTTAAGTACCCGTATAAGTCACACGCAATTCTAATAAAAATGAATTTATTAATAAAAAAATATTATTCTATTGTAATTTGTAACAAAATTAGAAAAGAAAATCAAAAAATTTATAATTGAATTATTAAATAAATGAACAAATATATTGAAATATTTAGTAGTCTAATTGTGATATATTTTTTTAAAGGAATATACATAAATTTTTTATATTTGATGATTTAAATTAAAATATTGACATATATATTGTGCAGTACGAGGCGGAATGAATATTAATACACACATATTCGCATCCATAATAATTTAAATTAAAATATATAAATATATATTGTGCAGTATGAGATAGAACGAGTATTAAAATACACATACTCGCACTCATACTGTTTATTTTACAAATTCTTACTCTTCGCGTTACCATTCCTAACCATAATTAATATTGAGTTGATTTAATAATATTTTAAGTTAATTTTATAAATAAATTATCGATAGTCAATTAAACTTTATAATATTTAAATAGTTATTTCATAAAAAGTATTTCATTTTTTAAAATACTTTTAAAAAAAAAAGATTATGTATATTTTATAATATCTTCCTTTATTTATTTTACAATCATTTTTTTCAAAGTGAACAATAGATGATATCTTAAATACATAAATTAATTCTCTTCAAGACAATAGTAAACAATATCGATTAAGATAAATTTAATATGACTTTTGATCTTCATAAATACATCAATAATGTATTAGAAGAAAAAAGCTATTAATATTGCATTAAAATTTTAAAATGATATAATTTTAATTTTTTTTTATAACTTATATTTTAAAACAGAAGTAGTATTCTTCTAACTATAATTATTAAAAATATTTTAATAAATAATATTAATTTTAAGATTAAAATGTTCTTGGTTCCTATAAAATTATTAAATTTTATTTTTGGTTCTGGTAAAAAAAAGAAAACGTATTTTGATCCCTACAAAATAATTATACACATAGTTCTAGTCTCTATGGTTAAATCAATGTGTATTTTTGAATGATTATTTTATAGATTGTTTAGAGCGTTATAAAAAGTTCTTTGAAAAAAACAACTCAAAATTTAATTTATAAATCGAGAGTTTCATTACTTTTACCATTATTTTTTGAAATTTAAAAAATTCATACTTAATTCTTTTCATTTAAAAAGATTATATAATTTAATAAATAAATATTTTATAGTAATTTAAACACGTACGAAAAAAATTATTTAAAAATTTAAAAATTTAAGAATAGTTAAATAATTTTCAAAATTTTAGAAAACAACCGAACTAGAACCAGATGCATAAAATTTTTGTAAAAACTAAAATGTCATTTTTTTTCTATAGAGACTAAAATATAAAATATTTATGGGACCAAAAACGTATTTAACCCTTAATTTTATTATTAAAAACAAACAACTTATCATTTCTCAATAAAAAGAATGCTCCAAAATCAAACAAAACACTCTTTAAAAAATAGAGGGAGTAGCTAATTTCTTTTTGAGTCAGGGGCACCTGTACACACCATATCTTCATTGACATATCAGTAGTAACCATTAAAAATTGATTGAAAATTGCATAATTTTATAACTATAAGGACTAAAAATCTACAAATAAAAAATAAAAAGACTAAATTATAACTGGTCACATTGCTGCTTATAATTAACACATCCAAACATACACATACAATGCCATAGTTAATCAACACAGATAGTTCAGACAGATTTCATAGCTTTTTCTATAAGCAAATTTCATAACCATTCAAGAGTCCTTCTCTTTGGTGGCGAGATCTTAGGGTCTCTTTATGTTCCTGAAAAAATGAGGCTAACTGGTTTAGTAATAGTATGACTTGTAAATTAGGAAATGGTTGTAATATTGAATTTTGGAATCATAATTCGCTGGGTTCATCACCCCTGAATCTGCTGTTTCCGGCTATTTTCGATATTTTACAGGCTTCGAATTCAAAATGCAATCAAGATCTACTCATTGGAGAGGTGTTAGTTGAATGGATGGAGCTACATAACAAACTATAACTCATAATTAACATAAACTAGAAATAACAAACTGATCTCGCAATGTCATATACAAACACATCAATTCCTTGCAATTAATTTGAATGTTAACCAGTAAAGATTCTTTTAAAATTATAATATTTAATTTAATCAATCACATGTTTTAAAATAAAACATGTAGTTGATTCCCAACCCAACAATGGCTTTGCCCGCGAATCCATTAGCAACAGTTACCGAACAGAAACAGTAAAGAAATACAAACCACATTATTAGTTGTGGCAAACAAAAATTTACACAAACCATTCATAAATAGCAAGGAGGCTGCACAAACCAACTCGCGCAAATAAACAAAATGCCTTTCCTTGGTAATATACAAATTCAAGCCGATGCCTGATGTGCTAGAGGCCTGTGGGGTTTTGGAGCTGCAATGAAATGAAAACATTAAATTGAAATTGAAAGGATAAAACTAAATAAACGAACTCGTCCCATATTACTGCAATGTCTTCTTATATGGAATGCATGGCAAAAGTAACTTAAAGCTTTGGAAGGTTCTGCCAGCTAGAAAAAATAGTGAAAAGAATCTTCTTACCTTTTGGATTTCCTTGCTCATAGAATGTTCGAAAGAGAAGCACAGCTTCTGTTGCCATTATACCTCCAGCACATTTGAAACCCCTTTTAGGTGGAAATACAATGTTAATGAGAAGAAAATTAAGAATTACTCATTTATAAACAATAAAGGATGTAGTGGAGAGCTATATGGAGAAGCTCAAATGTTGTTTAGTTAAGATGCATACTTATTAGGTGACACGGCATCACTTAAATGCAATGATAGTATTGATCCACACCCTCCAAATTTATCATTTGAACAGCCATAAAACACCTCCTTTATACCTGACAAATTATTGAATTAGAAAGGATAACATTAAGACAAATATTGATATAGATTGAACAATTGATTATATGAAGGAAAATACCTAAATTTGATAAAGCAGATGCACACATTATGCATGGTTCACAGGTAACATAAAGACTGCAATTTGAGAATTTTTTAGCAACTTCAGTCATTGAAAGTCCATTTTTCTGCCACTGTTCTAGAAGCACATCTATAGCTTCCATTTCTGCATGTCTTGTAGCCTGTAAAATATTGATTTAGTAATAATAACAAAGTTATTAAGTAATATTAATGTCTCTGTATCTTAAAACACTAAACTTCCAGAATCGAAATTTCACAAAAGCTTCCAACTTAGAAATGTATAAAATTCAATGGTAATCCATAGTTCTAAACTATTGATTATCAAAGGATGTGCTTCTAAATATGAAGATGACCATAGTAAAAACAAAAATGTGACATAGATCAGATTACATTTCGTGTCTCGGTAGTTCGATTTCTTCCTGAGGCTATAGCCTTGCCATCCTCAACAATTACACAGCTGTCAAGAGATATTAAAGTTTACATAAATATAGTAGTCAATGATCAAATTCACTTTAACCAGTTTGACACCAAACAAATGACAGGATCAACACCCGAAAGTACAAGTAAATGTTGAATGCAAATTGTTTTCATGGTTAAAGGATAAACCAATATACCGTAATTATCAAACAAATTAATCTCTGATTTTGAATGCAAATCCATTCAATGATAACCACAAGTAGAACAACAGGGCAAAAGAATAGGGCATTCCTAGCAAACACCCCGATTTCCACATAAAATACTACCACATCCCAAAATGATAAAATAATTTCTATCAACCATCTAATGGCAAACTGAGATACCATATAGAATGCATTTCCATGACTTGATGCAAACATCCAGCATCAGGGATCAATGTTGATACTGGCCATTACACTATCCAAACACTTTCTAATCTTAACACTAACATCAATCAATGACAAGTTATACTTCCGGTGGCATTCAAGCATTTTTAAATTGCAAAGGTAGCTTACCCAACAGGTACTTCGAGGGCATCCATGGCTAACTTTGCCTGTCACATGAAATAAATGGAATTCAATTCTACAAAATAAAAGGTGTGAGAACACACACTAGAACCTAGACTACATGGTCCATAAATGGAAAGCAAAATCAATACTTAGCAAAAAGATGCCATGCAATTTCTCCACTCACAATAAGCACCTTACATTGTTTTAAATTTAATGAGTTAGGAAGAACAGAAGTTAAAGAAACCCCATAATCCACTACACTATATTGTTAATTTATGAAACGCATCAGTTGAGTTTAGTGTCCATGAAAACACAGCACAGCTAGATGCATTATGCAGAAATGAGTGGTGAATACAAGGAGGCCTTTAAAATTTTACCTGCTGTATTGCAAGTTCCATGAATACAAGAGTGTCTGGAGAGCTCATCTTAAGCTGATTTGGAAGGAACACAATGATGCCAACAACAATGGTTCAGGGGAAAATTTATCTTGTTCTAGAGGCCGGTGTTCTGCATATACAACGATTACAATATCACGAATTATCCAATATCGACATAAGTGTTTGTTGCGTGATACATTCACATAGTACAAGTTGCAAATTAACTATCACATATAAATATAAAAGCTCTACATGGCCGTCAAAGTGGTTCTTTAAACGAGTTCAAAGGTTCGATAACACTAACACCAAACTGTAACAAGATGAGCTAGTTTAACCAAACTGCTAATGTATCAACTGAACCAAACATTTTTTTATCTGAAACGTTCAAAATATGTTTGTTTTGGTTTTTGACTAGTTCGTAAGGTTGTTTCGAAATACGGATAAAACACAGCATTCAATGTCAGCCTTGTTCATGCATTAACACAGAAAAGAACTAAACATTAAGTTGAATATTCAGCATTCCTATAAACCATGTAATCTCTATGTAATGTTTTGTTCCACCTCTGAGATGGAACAAACATATAACAGAAGAACTCATGTAATTGAATAGGCAGCATGGAGATTTCAAATCATAAATTAAAGGATATCATGACAAGCCTACTCATACCATTATGAACAAACATAAATCCACTGTATTAATGTGGAATATACTTAGCAAAACTAAAAACTTAAAATACCAAATAACAAACCATAAGAATTCTTATAATTAAGAACAAAATAATTATTTTTCCAATTCTCAGTTCTACTGCTACTATCACCTATCACAACTACCACAATCAACAATAACAACATTAGTAGTAGAGTTCAACTTGAAATTAAACAATACAAAACTTAATTTGCATCAAAAATGAGTATTGGTCCTTTTCAATTTTCAAAACTTTAACTCAGACCTTAGCGCAGTTTTGAAAATTGAAGATAAGCAAATCATTCTAATAACAGTAACCCAACCTAAAGCACCAATTTTGAACCTCAATAAAGCTACCCTCATGCCCAAATTTCAAACACTTAAAAACACACACACAACGCAACACCAAATCTCAATTTCCCCAAATCACAAAACCCTAAAGATCAAACAGCTAAAAAATCACACTAACCCAAAGTCCCAAACCACGAAATACCTTAAACAAAACCCAATTCAACGAATTCTATAACAAATCAAAACCCTAAGTTTGAAAAATCAAACAAAAGGGTCCGAAACACCATACTTGCGTGGAACAAAACGAAGCGAACATTACATCACTTGCATCAATCTGAAAATCCTCATTGCTTCGAGAAATCCCAAAAGCTCCAAATTTCGTATAATCAAGAGATCACTTAATTAACAAAATTGAGCAAAACAATTTTTAAAAAAAAAGATTTCTTTGCAATTACAAAAAACGAGAAATCACGAAATTCGAATGGAACGAAGCAGAATGAAGAGAAAAAAAGTATATATTGATTGAACCCTGACCTTAGCGAAGTTCAGAAAATTGAATAGAAATCTCAAACTTCACTTCAATTTCTTTCGAATGCTCGAAGCTTCTTCGTTAATCTCTCTATTTCTCTCTTAATTTCTTCAAAATTCAAATTTTCTGCTAAATTATGTATTGAAATTTTTCTGCTAATTCTTCAAAATTCAAGTTTTTCTTTTCTTCTCTTTGTTATTAAAACTAGTAGAAGAACCGGATAGGGACGGAATGCAGAATTTTTTCTATGTGGGACAATAATATTATAAATTTAAAATGTTAAAATTATAACCTATAAACTTTTTCTGTCAAAATATGTAAATTTAAAAATTAAAAGTATAAAATCTTTTAATTATTATTTTTAAAAGAATTTAATATAATAAAAAAATAAAATAAGAAAAAAATAGTGTATGATAAAAAATATATAAACTTAAAATCTTTAATAATGTTTGTTTAATTACTCTCTCTATATTAAGTATTAATATAATTGTTTAAGGTTTATATTTCTGATGTCTTCCATCACAATTTTTAATTACTTGATATATACACATAAATTTTTATATATGAGTGAAGTTTTAGTGGAGGCAGTGGCCCACAAACTGGCTCATATAGCTTCGTCTCTTAAATTGGATGCACGGTTATAAAAAAATATATGAAATATAATATTAGATATTTTTTGTTTGGATTTAATTGATTGTATTTTGTGTTACTTTATGAAATATTTCAATCATATTTTGAATATTACAGTAAAAAAATTGAAATACATAATAATCAAGATTTTTTATTTTTAATTTTTTAGAACAATATTTATGTTTGCTTTTTTGTTTGAATCTTATTGGTTGTGTTCCGTTTACCTCCATATTACATTTGTACGAGATATATTGATTTTTTCAATCATATTTTATTGTATTAATTTGTTTGCATTTTGTCTTAAAATTTATTATATATAAGTTCACATGTTCTTCTGTATTGAACATGTAAGAAGCTAGTGTCTTAGGTAGCTCGATTTTTCCTACACCTGTAGGTCCCATAAACATGAACTAGCAATTGGACGACATGGATCTGAAAGAGCTGCTCTTGAACGTTGGATAGCCTTATCTACTGCCTTCACAGCAGGATCTTAACCTATAACATGCTTATGAAGCACTTTCTCCAAATACAACAACTTCTTATTCTCGATATACTTATGATACTCATCAAGTGTTGTCGCACCAATACACCGCAACCCCCCTACCAAGCATAGGCTTACCAACATCCTTGGCACCATTTGTAGCACCTGACTCATGGAAAATTGAAATTGCAATCAAATCCAAAATTCACATGTTAATTTAGCTTATTACCTGCTCCAACAACGGTATGAATCTCATCAATGAAAAAGATAGTTTAACCATCAGATTTTGTTACTTCCTTAAGAACACTATCTTCAAATTCTCCTTGATATTTTGCTCCAACAATAAGTGCACCCATATCAAGGGATATAAGATCCCGAACACACCTATGACAAATGGTACCTTTGAATGCCTTAAACTCTATTTGGATGGATTAATGACATTAAATAATACAGGAATTGCTAAAATATCTGTTGAATACACAATCGAGACAGCTACAACTTTATTAGTTTTGTGAAGTAATAGCTACTACTTTATTAGATTTCACTCTTTCAGCATATATTAGTTTTATTCATCAGCTGTTAGAAGTAACATATGTATGTTGATCTTATTATAATATATTGTTGAACACTCTGTCGAGTACGGCATTGCATGGTGTAGTATATATGACAATTTCAGTAGACTGAAACTATATTACAAAAGAATTTCCTGCAACATGTTTCATAACATTGAAGGAAAGTGTTTAAATTTTCTTTTGTTGGAGTATATTATGTGTATATAATAACATGTTTCGTGTATAACTCGATTTCTATTAAGAGTGTTTGTTGTATCTCTCCTTTGTTTCTTCTTTTTCTTTTATCTTATTTTTTGTCTTCTCTTTCTTATTAAAAAGTTTCATTTTTTCTCTCTCTCTTTTTCTCCCTCTAATTTGTTGAATTGGATTGGATAACTTTGTGATATATTTTTCTTTAGGAGAAAATGATTTTGTAAATTAACTTTTTATTTAAATTTTGGATAATGCTAATATGTGTTCTTAAGGACACGTATTAAGAAACCTAACAATAAAAAATTTATGTTAAAAAATCAATAAAAAAGTTTAATAATTAACATTCAATTAAAACATTGCACAATTTCTAACAAAAAGTTTTTACATTTAACTCTTAACACATGACCTTAGAGTATATGTTAGCATTACCTTTAAATTTTTATAAATATATTCATAATTAGAGTTTTTTACATTCTTAGTTTAGCAAAATCTCTATCTAAATAAATAATCATCAATTCACAATCAACGTGGTGTTTATGTCATAATTTAATTATATTGGATTTTACCAATATACTCTCATTACTAATTTTTAACACCTAAACAAAATTGGGGTTATCAAGTCTTCTTACAAAGACTTGACCATTTATATTATTAAAAAACGTTTTTGGATAACTTTCTTATCCTTCCTTTTCACTTATGTAATTCTTTCTCTTTCTTCCATTTCCCTTTCTCCCTTTCACCGTAACTTTCTCTTTCATTCTTCATCACTTTATCTCTTTCACTTTCTCTTACTTCTCTCAAATTTCATTGCAACTTTCTTTGTTTTCTTCTCTTTTCATCGTTCCGTCTACTCTTTTAAATCCCCATTGCTCTCTTCTTTCTTTGTCATTCTACAGCAACAAGGTAGAAGATACAATATTTTGTCATCTTTGTGCTATTTCATTCTACACCAATATTGCTAAATTTTTCACCATTTTTTTTTTGGATTTCCTTTTGCATGTTTGTTTCACACTTAAGAAAAGCTTGAATCTTTGGTTTATAAATTATTTTAGATTTTTTCGTTACTAACACCTTTTTGATGGGTTTTTTTCATTCAACACTAAGAAGGCTAAGTTTGTTACCGTTTTTGTTTGGATTGTGAAATCAAGATTCTCAGAGATCAATATATGTTTTGATGAAGACAAATCACTTGACAAAGAAGACAAATATGATCAACCATTTCAAGACATCAAGAAGCAGGACAAAGACTTGAAATGAAGAATATTTCTCTCAGAAGGTATAATGAGAATTTTCATCAAGTGTTTAAGTCCTGATTGCTCAAAACATTAAAAATCTTTTACATTACTTTTCACACTAACACAAGCTTTTTAAAACAAAATTTTTCTAAGTTTTTGTAAGTGCAATCGATTGCATGATCAAAATTTTAAATGATTTTTGCTTCTGTTTCAGTAAGCAATCGATTGATGCCTTGGTGCAATCGATTGCATGCTTGAAAATGTCTCTTCTTTTCACTTCTGTTTTAGTGTGCAATCGATTGGTCCTTTTGGTGAAATCGATTGTTCTTTTAAAAATTTGAATTTTCAAGTGTTTTATTAAGGTGCAATCAATTGATCTATATGTGCAATCGATTACTCACTGAACGTTTTTTGAAAAATTGCATCTCTTCAA